GTCTGAGTCTGTCTGTCCTCCGTCCGTCGGGGGTGAGTGTGCTCTTGGCACGGACGTCCTTGAGGACAGGCAGGAGGAGTTCCAGTGCTTTGCTGCTGCTTTACCTCATCTCGTGTCCATGCTAGTTGCCCCTGAGGGAGACCCGGATGCACCAGACATCCCGACCCCGCGCTCTTACGCAGAGGCGATAGCGGGTCCCTACTCCTCTCAGTGGCAGACAGCCATGGACGCAGAGATGGCTTCCTGGAAGTCCACAGGCACCTACGTCGACGCTGTTCCCCCACCTGGGGCGAACATCGTCAGTGGCATGTGGATTTTCAGGGTGAAGCGGCCGCCGGGTTCTCCGCCTGTCTTCAAGGCGCGTTACGTTGCTCGAGGCTTCAGCCAGCGTGAGGGAGTCGACTTCTTCCAGACCTTCTCCCCCACCCCGAAGATGACCACTCTTCGGGTGCTGCTGCACATAACCGCTCAGCGTGACTACGAGCTTCACTCTCTTGACTTCAGCACTGCTTTCTTGCAGGGTAGTCTGCACGAGGAGATCTGGCTGCGCCGCCCTCCTGGCTTCACTGGGTCGTTTCCTCCTGGTACCCAGTGGAGCCTCCGCCGGCCGGTCTACGGTCTCCGCCAGGCACCACGTGAGTGGCACGACACACTGAGGACGACACTTGCGGCACTTGGGTTCGCGCCTTCTACTGCTGACCCGTCGCTGTTTCTGCGCACAGACACTTCGTTGCCGCCGTTCTACATCCTCGTGTACGTCGACGACTTGGTCTTTGCCACTGCTGACACTCAGGCTCTCGCCCACGTGAAGTCGGAGCTGCAGAAGAGACACACGTGCACAGACCTGGGTGAACTGACAAGCTACCTTGGCTTGCGGATCACCCGGGACAGAGCACGGCGCACCATTACCTTGACTCAGTCACACATGGTGCAGCAGGTCCTTCAGCGCTTCGGCTTCACGTACTCCTCGCCTCAGTCCACTCCTCTGTCTACCAGTCACTCGCTCTCAGCTCTGCCTTCGGATGAGTCCGTAGAGCCGAGTGGCCCGTATCCAGAGCTTGTGGGCTGCCTCATGTACCTGATGACCTGCACTCGTCCTGACCTTGCATACCCTCTTAGCATCCTTGCACGCTATGTCGCTCCTGGCCGTCACCGGAAGGAGCACATGGATGCCGCTAAGAGGGTGTTGCGCTACTTGTGCAGTACGTCGGGCATGGGGCTAGTGCTTGGAGGGCGAGACCGAGTTGTTCTCACAGGACACTCAGACGCTTCTTGGGCGGACGACCAGGCCACTCAGCGGTCGTCTCAGGGTTACACCTTCAGCCTTGGCTCCGGTTCAGTTTCTTGGCGTTCTACACGTTCTTCTTCTGTTCTCAGCTCCAGCTGTGAGGCTGAGATCTACGCCACAGCCATGGCGGCCCAGGAGCTACGCTGGCTCACCTACCTGCTGACCGAGTTGGGAGAGCGGCCTCGTTCTCCTCCAGTGCTGTACGTCGACAACAAGGCTGCCATTGCCTTGTGTGAGGAGCACAGACTGGAGCACAGAACGAAGCACATCGCTCTCCGCTACTTTCTGGCTCGTGAGCTGCAGCAGCGTGGTCAGCTTTGTCTGCGTTACGTGGCCACTGAGGCCAACACTGCTGACGTGTTCACCAAGGCGCTTCAGCCTTGTGACCATCAGCGCTTTTGTACTCTTCTAGGCCTTGTGCCTACTGGACCTCACTTGCTTACTTCTTGACTTTGTTTGTACTGTGATCTCTATATATATACCTGCATGCTTTCACTTGCTAGGTTGTGATCACTGTACCTCTTGTTATATTATGAAACTGCATGTGAACTGGTCTTATGACCACTTGCTTGTGCTCGGAATTTGTGTGGTATCCTTGAGATCCACCCTGAGCTTGTTTTGCCTTGCTTTGCTTTGACTGGTCTTGTGACCCTCTGGTTGTCCCCCACTTCGCCTATGGGGGTGTGTCAAACATTGTATGTTTATATTGTGTAGGCTATAGTGGGTTTAGCCTTAGAGGGTACACAAACTTAGGGTTTCCTACTTGTACCCAACTTCCTGCTAGTTCATTCATTCTCGTTCTATTCTCAGATTATAACACTTCAGCCAGCCGCTTCGTTAATAAATCTGCCGGCTGCTGCTGGGTTTTCACATAGAGGGGCTGCAGGGATTCTCTCTGCACTTCCTTGCGCAGCCAATGCCACTTGGCACAGTTACTCGCAACATCGTGCTACCGCCACTGCCACCGCCCCCCGCCCCAGCGCAAGCCTTGCCGGAAGACCTCATGAAATCGTTGAAGGAAGATGTATTGAAGGCGGTGACGGAGACCACACAACAGTCGTTTGTTGCCTCGGGATTGAAGCTAATGACCGAGGTGATCGGCACGGTGGCGCCTGCTCGGCGTGGGTCGTCGCAGTCGGCCAACGACGCCTAGCTCGCGCAACGAAGGGAGGCTCACAAGCAGGGTCAGAAGAGGGCGGGCGGCGGCGGAGGGGGAGACGGAGAAGATGCGGTGAGCGTGAAGCGGAGCAAGGGAGCCGGGGGGAGCCGCGGCGTCGGCGCAGAGGGTCCAGGCAACTAGAAGACTCGAAATCCGAGTGTGAACGACCTGCTGAAGCAGCACGAGGCCAAGGTGATAAGGCGCGACTCGCACAGCAAGAGCGGAGGTGGCGGAAGTGCAGAAGGGGGCTCTGCCGGTGGGAATGCCGCTCAAGACGCTGGAGCAAGTGCCCCGCCTTTGGTCAGATGGTGCCAGTGCTACGGACGGACGAGGCGCAGCAGATGGTGCCGGTGCCGCGGACGGACGAGGCGCAGCAGATAGTGCCGATGCCGCGGACGGGCGAGGCCCAACAAATGGTGCCGGTGCTGCAGATGGGCGAGGCGCAGCAGAAGGACCTGGTGCTGCGGCATTGCCCTTTCCATCGGGCTGTGCAAATGGGCGTCCTGCGCCGCTCTGTCTCTGCCGCGTGCCGCAGCGGCGCGACTGTGAGGCACGAGCACCATTCCGTGCGTCGGCCGCGATGTTGTTGGCGGTCATGCGTGTCCGGCGTGTTTGCTGAACGTTCCGTCGGCGGATTCGAAAACCTCTTGGTGGTGCGGGCTTTGGCCCCTGCATGTCGGCTATGGGTGCTCGACCGTAGAGATAGGTCGTGAGTAGTGGATGCGAATCCCTTGCAGCGACCTTGAGTTCATCATACTTCTTCACCGACCTTGCTCTCATCAGTTTCCACGACATGTCCTTGGACGTTTTCCCAAACCGCTTCACGATTTGGCCCATGTGCCACTCACAGAAGTAGTGTGCCACCTTCTCGGGGAAGACATCCTCCACCGCCGGAATGAGACCTTTGTCACGGTCGCTGATGATCGAGGCGTCGTCCCGTCCCTTCCAGTCCGGACAATGCGCATCAATAAGGCGGCAGAATTAAGTCCAGGTGTCCGTAGTCTCGCTCTCAAGCAGAGCCCAAGCGATTGGGATGATCTGTTGGTTGCCATCCATCGCGGTGGCATAGAGCAAGTAGCCTTCAGTGCACGGATAAAAAATATCCCGTCCAGCGCAAGTCTTGAGAGCTTCGCGGGTTGCGCTTGGTGCCATGAAGAAGCGGAGGAATTTGTGGTTGTACGTGAGCAGCTGAACGGTAGCTCCGCCATCGATCTGCTGAATCCGTACTTGCAGCGCGGTTATGTACCGGAAAGACTCGCACCAGTCTCCAAAGCTCTGCTCCGTGATCCCAACCTTCAGCCTGTCCATTATGAATGGATGGGTGCAATCGGAAGGTGAAGGAAGGCACCACATATGCGGTACAAGAGAAGGTTGTAACAATGATGTAACATGGATGTATGCTCACCGGTACGCGTTGTTGTATGTTAACTTCGGACCAGAGCACGCCTGGATTTGTCTTGTGTAGTCCCATGGGGCGTTGAAAGGCGTAGCACGGACGAAGTTGCCTAATTTACGCCAAAAATACTTCCTCTTACGCCCCATTCCCGGCCACCAGCGCACCCGGTGGACGCGATCGCATGTATGCTCCTTGGGATCGGAAAGTTGTACGATTTGCCACGGGCCGTTACGCTCGATGCGAGCGTAGCTGCATTGCCAAGGACAGTCCGGCTCCAAGCCTAGCTTCTGACTCTTGTACAAGGCCAACGCCGAAGCCCTCCTGGTAGACTTCATGTAAAAATCGTATCAATGTACCATTGCATCATCAAGCAAGGCATAAAGGCAATGATCACGAGATGAGTACCAGTTACCCCCCCCGAATGGCAGCGTTGTCATTGATAGAAGGTCCCTCCTCGGGCTCAAACTCTATGTCGAATTGCTCTAGTATGAAATCATACATATCACGCCCTTTAGGCGGTGGTTCCGCCATTGTGATTCTGCAACTACTACTATATTGGCCATCGCACAATATAAGTGTTAAATGAAGCCTATGTATTTTTTGGATGCGACGCGAAGGCTGGTTTGAATGGAATATTGAGCAGCATTTGGTGTTGATGCATAGTGGACACGAAATTCTTGCCAATGCCAGCAGAGCAAAGAACAACAACAAGAATTCACCTGTCAGACCGTGTTTGCAGAATATCAGCGGTGGGCGAGTCCTTGGCGTTTCGTCAGGAATCGCGGTGACAGAGTTGAATTCTGAGTGTGGACGCATTTATGAACATGAAATGAATACAGCAAAATAAATCAAGAGTTGGCATGTGGCTTACATGTGCAAATAAAGCGCGCGACTCATATTGTAAAACGGACTTGGCACAAACAGCCGGAAAAACAGGCCAACTCAGCAAGTCTAAAGCGGTCAAGCCAGATGGGTCTATCGCAGACACGCTTCCACGATGTGACAAACAGCCAATTCATGCTGACACCCAATGAAGCAGAAACAACTGTACATATGCAAAATGCCCCGTCATTATAAGCATCAATTGCAAATGAGTACAATCGTGCACATTTGCAAGGAGAGGAGACAAGCTCTCCTCCAAGGGAGATAAATCTCACTCAAAATCGCATCCACTCCGCGGCGGCAATGTAGCCGCTAATGACGGCGGGTGCACCCGCGTCAATCAGCTCCTGGCGGCGGGCAGACTGCGCCACCCAGTCAGGGGTGGACACCGCCATCCACGCCGGCAGCACCTGACCACGGCGACGCGGGGTCTCAGGTGACGGGGTGTCAGCATGAGTCATAGCCGGGGGCGGGGTGGAGTTCAGATCGAGGGGCGGGCTTGCGCGCTCCATCCGGGCAATTATAGTAGGGTTGCGGATGTCGAACAGTGCGCAAAGGTCGCACAGGGTGATGCACATGGCCCGCGCATCAATCAGCATCTCGCAGGCCGCGCGCACCGTGCGCAGCGCTTCGCGAGACGCCGGGTTGCTGACATCGTAGACAACTTGCATGTTAGCAGGTGCCTCCCACATTTTGCCCAACACAACCGTCGCCAGCTCCCTGATGAGCGAGTCCTTGCCCGGTTTGGTGCAGGTCGGCTGGTTGTCGTCAATGCCGACGAAAGCGTCAACGGCCATTGCTCTCGACCCAAGGCGCAGCCAGTCGATGAGGAGGCCGACGTCATTCACCTCCTCGTCGAGGCCAATGTCGGCGGCATTACCGCCTGCGCCGACGTTGCCGCCTTCCACATGCTGGAGCATCATGGCCCACGCATGCGAAAGACATCCGGTGCGCCACCAGCAGCGCTGGATGGTGCGACGCGGAATGCTCATCCATGTGTCGCTCAGTCAATCCAGCACGTCCCTGAGGTTCGGCTTAAAGCGAGCCGCCGCGGACGTTGCGCCATCGGCGGACCACATACAGGTGAAGGCGCGGAGCCAATGCTCGCAGTACGCGCCTTCGCCATGGCGATGAGCCCTTGGTCCAGGGGTTGGGTGAAGCAGGTGGTGTTCGGAGGGAGATACACCAGGCGGACATTCCCGATCGAGCATGTGCGGAAGCCGAAGAGATCTTCCATCGTTGCGCCCTCCGTCTTGAGCACCACGATGTTCCCTAAGCATTGGCGAGCAGCTCTTCCGCGCCTTCGAAGAGCACCACGATGTTCCGCCCCTCGGCGTACATTGCAGCGTTGAGATGCACGATGTAGTGAGTGAACAACTGGGTGATTGAATGCGGGGTAAGAATGACATGAGAAGTATAACACCAACCACGGCAGTGGATTAGCACATAATAAAAAAAAAAAAAAAAAAAAAAAAAAAGGGACCTGAACAAGGACCACAACGGGCGGTAAATATGAGTCTAACGGCAGAGACGTGAAAGTATGGATTGACCGACGAGGTCATCCATCCCTTGGCGTTGTGACGCCAGTAGCAAAGCTCTTCGGGGTTGTAGTCGGGGCGGAAGTCGTGCGACCGCTTCGCCATAGAAATCGCCAAGGGCCGGAACACACGGGAGCCATCGGCGTTGACGAGGAATCCGATCGTCAGACGCTCCTTGGCGATCTTCCGTCCCGCTGTACAATTGTTGCCGTACGTCTTACGCGGCAGAATGGAGATGTAGAGGGCAGTCTTGTCGAAGTTGAAGGTGTTGCTCGGTGTGACGGAAAGATGCATCAAGAGCTGCGGCAGCTTTTCCTGAGTAGTATGGACAGCCGCTATGTCCTGGTCGGCGGCCTCGCCGATGGCGCTCATGCACCTGACACCCTGGCGGTGCAACGCCCGGCGGACCTAGCCGATGGAGAAGCGGAAGGTCGGCGATAGACCCTGAGCTCTCGCCATAGTCGCCACGTGATCGCGAATCGTGGCGAGAGTGAGAGGCACACCAGCCGAGCCCGCATTGGCAATCCAGGGAGCCATTGTTCGCTCCAGCTCAGGGTGAGCACCTTAGCGCACACGGATGACGTCTTCGGCACCATCCGCGTGCACCCAGCGGTCGGCGCCCTTGAGCACGCGCCCAATGGTGGAGCGATCGGGACGAATTCCGAAACGCGTGAAACACCAACGCGCGAGATCAACGTGGCACAGCTGGGGATTCGCAACATGATGGGCGCAGATCGCCCTCTTTATGGGAAGGCCTAGTTATGTGCGGTGGTAAAGAAGAGGCATGGTGAGCAGGTGGGGTGATTAGAGTCTATGATTGTCGAGTGGTTTTCGGCCCGTTTTATTATTTCTGTTGAGCGCATCCAAGTGACGTGTGGGTGAGCGTGATAACAAGGGTGAGCCAAATGTTAAGCACCAACACATGCATCGGCGGGGTCTGTTTAGACATTATGCTACCCTGTAACCACAATGATATGGTGTGACGTGTCTATGCTGCACAATGAGAGGCTATCGAGGTGTTTGTATCGGGATTGAGCCAGATTTAGGTGGCGTGAGGAATTTGGCTTTGGTCTGTTACGTGGCACAGCGTGACCTGCGAATGTTCGGACGAGGTCGGAGGAGTTTCGTCCAGTCATTCTGACAAGTTTGTTTCTGGCCTAGAAACACGGATTACCAGGGTCAACAACGTTTGTTTTGTGCCCAAAGTTCATTATTGGTCGTATTCAACCCCACAAGCAATTTTACCCAGGGGACTAAACCGTGGGTGCAACTTCACGGCAAAAATCCCGCGGATGCAAGGTTTCCAATTTGTGCAACGCAAATTCGCGTGCAGTGGATGAGCAATACGTGTAGCTCCCACCAATCCTATCTCGACATGGTTATCCCCACAAACCTCGACAGTCTGATACAGTGGACAGAAGCAGACTGTCGAACCTGTTCGCGCTCGACCCTGGCCAAACCAGCATTCCACATTGTTAAGAATGAAAAGTCTAATCGGTAAACATTGTGTGGTTGTGAAGTTTCACGTCAAACAACAAACCGCCCACCGACAAAATGGAAACCCGAAAAAACATCCATAAAAATGTTTATATAAATCAAAATATCGGGAGCGCAGAACGCGTGGGATGAAAGGTGGATGGATTGCAAAATATATATATATATATTTTTTCCAATTAGAGCGCGAAAAAATTTGCGACCCCAAGCCCCGCCTGTGGTAATTCTCTCGGCATACTAAGTACCGTTCGGTGTGCAAATTTATTGCTTCGTTCTAGTCACAAGGGTTACTACATTTCTGTGCTGAGCAGGATGTGTGTGCAGAGTCAAGGACCACTCTCAATCTCCTATATATCTATCTAAAGGCTTCAGAACCGTTACCAAACCCATCATCAGAGTGATTCTGTGGAGCGAACGACCGATCCTTCGCGACATACACCTCGTCGTCGTGGTGACGTTGTGATCAGGCCAAATTTTATCAGTGTAAATCACCCTGATACCCTGATAATCAGGGTGGTTTTTGGTAGCCACACTGATGCCTTAGGGTAATTTTTTCAGGAGATAGGTTTTCCCTGATATGCCAAGGTTTACGTTTATGGCACACTGGCGGCCAGGGTTACCGTTCGTATTAACGAGTTTTACCCTGAAGCGAATACACACTGGCAAATACTGACTGCCGTCGGGCTGATTTTATCAGGGTAATTACCCTGATTTCAGGGTGATTACAGGCTTCTCACTTGGTGGTCCCTGCAATTTCAGAATTTCTAACTTCTGAACACTGATCCATTCAGAATAGTGCTTTAGCGAACCCTGAAATATTGTATCTAGGCTCAGAGTAGTGTTCTTACTGACTCTGTCAATGTAGAGTACACGTTCTGTGGACTCTGAATCTGACCTTATCGGTAGGAAGTTTTACGGAACTTTCGTTCCGATTATCTCCCTTCGAATTGATCGCAGTACAGCCAGCGCGTGAGCGACGGACAGCAGCATGTCTGACAGGTGAATACACTCGATGTTTGTTACTTTCACAAAGTGCGAATAAGTTGTTGTTCTGTCGTAATTACGTGTGCGTGAAGTTACCTGCACTTTTTTGCGTTTCGTACAGCGATGTTGACGACATTTAGGTACTCGGCGAATGAAAAATTTAGCACATCTGTGGTATCGAATCGAAATGTTTTGTTGACCAAAATCGCTCATCCCTTCCCCACACTTAAACGTATGGATAAATACTATTTTGTAAAACTAAACGGTTGGAAATTAGCGCGCTCAAAGTGTGCGCGAAACACAGAGCGCACTTTACGCAGAGAAATGCTTTTTTCCCCTGTAATAAAGAGCGCGTTACTACTATGAACTTCGATTTTCGACCCTGAACAATCAGAGTTATATACTTTTCAACCCTGAGCGATCAGGGTAGCATCATTCTGAAAAACGTGCACTCAAACAGAGGGGAAAAAAATTCCCCCAGAAACAGGGGGGCCTAATATGAAACGTCAGCCCTGCCGTCGCACCCCTGTTTCTCTAAATAAATGGGTTGTAATAGAGCGAGATATCCCGCCGATGCGGTCCAGTCAGTAACTTGGTCTTCGGGAGGATGAAGACCAGGTATCGAACTAAATGTCAGGTCTTTTTGTTCAAAACTTCAGTTGAAACACTTCATCAGGGTTCTGAAAATTGTTACACTATGGCCTAAGGGTAAATTTCTTGAAACTATGGAAAACCCTGATGGAAAAGAATTCTCCAAAGGGGTCACACTGATAATCAGGGTTTTGCAAAGGTGCAGGACTGATGATAAGGGTTGCTTAAAACCGAAAATTAGCCCTGGTTGTGATCCACCCTGAGCTTTGCTTTGTTGCTTCTCTTGACTGGTCTTGTGACCATTGCTTGCTCTGGCTATCCCCCACTTCGCCTAAAGGGGTGTGTCAAAACATATTTAGTTATAAATATATTTAGGTTGTAGTGGGGTTTGCCTTTAGGGGGTACAACAACTTTCTCGACATCTTTCTTGTATCCCCCTTCCCACACTGGCTGTGTTCTGTTCGATAGACACAGTTGAGTGCGTTGCTGTGAAATCTGGAACGATTAAATTCCTTTATCCCTAAAAACAAGAACCAGAGTTAATATAGTACATGCTAGGTGGAGCAGCACTTGCAATTTTCTCCTAGATAACAGAATTCATCAATGCTTGTAAAATATAGCCTACACTGTATTATTGTACACCAGCGTTCTGACGAGCATTCTTGCATTGGCCATCACCTCCTTGAACTCCCTCCGGTCTACTCTGGTAATACTCTGATCACGCGCACACGCCACGCACTCGTGAATGTTCCAGCACTGCTCCTCGGGCAGATGGGTGAACCCCCCGTCCTTCATGCAGGAGTTGCGAAAAAACGCGCTGATGTCGTGGATGTTGCGCCATCCGAGGTAGTGCACGCCGGAGCGCATGGCGATCTTCTTGTAGAGCGTGCTGAGGAACTTGTAGGGGAACAGCTCCACCACCACTGAGCCCCGCGGCATGAACAGCGCCGTGGTGAGTGGCGTGCCATGCAGTGATATCAGCACTAGGGTGTTCTGAGAACGGAGGGGGAAGAGGTGGAAGGGTGGGGGGGGGGGGAAGAGGAAGGGGGGGGGGGGGAAGAGGAGGAGTGGGGGGGGGGAAGAGGAGGAGGGGGGTTAAGGTAATGGGGGAAAGGGAGAGTGAGAGTGGATTGGGTGTGCAATCAAGGGTGCTTGAATCACGTGGTTGCGTATGGAGGGGCATGGATGAGATGGGAAGCAGCTCACCTGCAGCTTGCTTCAGTTCAGGCAGCAGGCTCAAGGTACAACAAATCAGAATCTTCCTTCTTCACCTGCCCACTCCCTCATTCCCCCTTCCCTCTTCTCTTTACCCTTCCCCCCCACTTCCCAACCTCTCCCCCTCCCTTGCATCCTCCGTCCCACTCAATCACCTCACACTCCCCCTCTTCACCCCCCACCCCCGCTTTTCCCCCTCCCTTCGCTCCCCCCCTTCTCACCTTGAGCAGCAGAGCATGGTCGAAGGCAGACGCCTTGCCAACCCGGGCGATGAGCAGCGGCATCTCGGGGAAGAGCGCGTGCGCCACGCGCGCCACCTCCTGCCCGTTCATCACCGACCGGCCCCGCTCGCGCTCAAGCACCGTCACCTGCCAGCGCATGCGCCGCGGGGCAGGGGGCACCTGAAAAGGGGCAACAGGGATGGGAGGAGAGTGGAAAAGAAAGGAAGAGATAGTGGGAGAGCGGGTTGATGGGATGTGCCCACTGCCCTCTCTCTCTCGCTCCAGCACTGTCACCTGCCACCTCATGCGCCGGGGAGCAGGGGGCAGCTGGGAAGAGGAAAGGGGGGGCAGGGATGGCGGGAGAACATAGCGGTAGCATGAGATGGGTATGCTGGCAGACTGTCCTCTCGCTCACTCCAGCACCGTCACCTGCCACCTCATGCGCCACGGGGTGGGGACCACCTGGGATTGAGTCGCAGGGTAACAGGGATGGGAGGAGAACAGAGGCGGGGCATGAGGTGAGGGGTGCAGACTAACCCTGTTCCCCCCCCAACACCGTCTCCTGCCACCTCATGCCCCAACACCGTCTCCTGCCACCTCATGCCCCAACACCGTCTCTTGCCACCTCATGCCCCAACACCGTCTCCTGCCACCTCATGCCCCAACACCGTCTCCTGCCACCTCATGCTCCTCCGGGTGCGGAGGACCTGGGCGGGCACAGGGGATGCGAGAACAGTGGAAAAAAGAAGAAGAGGGGATGGAGGGAGACGGTAGTGCACACTACCCTGTCCTTTGGTCCAGCACCCCAACACCTGCCACCTCATGCGCTGCAGGCAGAGGAGGAGCAGGAGGAGGAGGAGGAGGAGGAGGAGGAGGAGGAGGAGGAGGAGGAGGAGGAGGAGGAGGAGGAGGAGGAGCGTGGGGCTACTGGATGACGGGACGCCGAAAATGATCTCTCGCTGTACCACGTAATCTTGCTGCCTTCCCAACACCTTCTACTTTCTCCATCACGTCCTGTCCTCCCTCATCTGCATCGCACATGAACCACCACCAACACCACGTGGCCACTCTGCTGCTCCCACCTGCCAACCTTCCTCTTTCACCACCCCTCTCACCACCCCTCTCGCCACTCCTCTTGCCACCCACCTGGGAGCCAGGGGCGGGTTGCAGGGGCGGCAAGCTGCGGCTGGTGCGCAGCACTTTGACGCGAACCACACCCGACTGGCTGCCTTTCTTGCCCTTGCCCTTGCCCTTGCCACGCCCGCCCGCCCCCAGCAGCGCCCACTGTCTCAGCGTGTCCGCTGCCTGCGGCGTGTGCAGGCGGTTCAGCGGGAAGAGCGCATTGCGGAAACACACCTGCCGGACACACAGGGGGGCGAGCAGGTAAGAGGGGCGGAGTGCGCCGAGAAGGTAGGAAAGGGTGGGGGCAGGAGAGGGGGGAAGGGCAGTGCCAACGATTCAGAAGGGAGAGGGGAGGGGGGGGGAGGCGGGCAAGAGAGTAATCACAGGAGGCCAGAGGGAAGGGGGTTGCAGGGAAGGGCAGCGGAGGGAGAGTGAGCGGCGGCAGGTGATGGGGAGGAGGGGGTTGCAATGGGACTTGCACATGTGGAGGGATTGATTAGGCCATGTCCTTTCTACTACTCGAACGCCATTCAAGCCATTGCCCTTGGCGACCCTAGTTCACCTTGACACTCCCTTGCCTTCTCCCTCCTCCAATCAAACTCCAATCAAACTCCCTCACCTACCTTGTGCCTGGGAGCATGCGTGCCTCTCACCTTGAGCCCGGGCGAGTGCCCCAGCAGCAGCTGAGCCTTGGGGCCGAAGAGGATGTGAGCCATGTCAGCCGTCCACGCGCTGCGCACCTCGCGCTCCCCCGGGAAGAACACCACGCGCCCCTCCCCCCTCGTGTCCTTGGATGGGTCTGACGGTGGCGCTCGCACCAGGTGCACTGGGGGCGAGGGGAAGGGAGAAAGGGACGGGGAGCGGCGACGAAGGTTGTTGGGCGGGAGAGGCACGTGCAGCTGAGGGTTGGCTAAGAGTTGACATCGCGGCAGCACAGCTGAGAAGGAAAGGGGGTTGTCAATCAGGAAATGAGAAAGAGAGATGCCTAATTGCACCACCACCCCGCACTCACCACCACCCCGCATGAGCGGAATCACAGATAGGGAAGAGAGGGGTTTGGCATCAGAAAGAGAGAGGAGATGCATGAGCGAACTACTCACCAGCAGCCTGCATGAGCCAACTACTCACCAGCAGCCTGCATGAGCCAACTACTCACCAGCAGCCTGCATGAGCGGCACCACAGCCTCCCCGAAGTCCCCCATGTAGGTACCATGCCGCGGCACATACCCCACCTTCTCCACGCGCCCTCCCAGCGGCCCCTTTGCCAGCCGCGCTCTACTCTCAGCATCGCTGAGGTTGAGGTAGCGTGTGACAGCGTGGGGGCTCTCGAAGCGGCCGTACACGCGGTTCTCACGGCGCTTGATGTCGGTGATGTCGTGCAGCTCCTCGTCAAACTCGTCCGTGAACCCCGGCGCCGCGTTCTCAAACCCCCACAACGCCATGGGTATGGGTAATGCAGTCTGTTGTTGCTGCTGCTGGGGTGTGGCTGGTGGTGATTGGGTGGATGAAGGCTTGGTTTTAGAGTGGGAGGGGACAGGGTTGTGGGGTTTGGCGGTTTGGTGCTCGGATGCGGATAGGAGGCGTCGCCGCTTGCCCATGTAGGTCCCCCTCTCTTCTCCCTCCTCCCCCTCGTCGGCTGAATACCCCACTCGACCGCTGTCCCTCCAATCCCCCTCCTCCTCCTCCTCCCTCCGCTCCACCCTCCCACCATACCTCTCCTTCCCCACCCCACTCCCCTTCCTCCCCCCTCCCACACCCCCCTTCCGCCCATCCACTCCCCCCACGCCCCCTTCCCCCTCCTCCACCCCTCTCAACCGCACCACGTCGCGCCCCACAGTGGCCTCTCTGTCCGTGGCAGCCTGTGCCTCTCGGGGCGAGAGGGAGCGCCAGGCGTGGTCCTGCTGGTCGGCGAGGGCGTCGGGGAAGAGCGAGCAGAGGTCGTTGGAGGTGCTGATGCGCTTGAAATCGCGCACGCCCTCGTCCGAATACCACATGCCCGCCATTGGCACGTGTTGGCGCGATGGGCCTGGGAGGGGGATGGGGGGGGAAGGGTGGGGATGGGCATGGGGGATGGAGGGAAGTCGCGCACGCTCTCGTCTGAATACCACATGCCCACATAAGGTGTGTGCAGGCGCGATGGGCCTGGGAACAGGAGGTGGGGTGGGGGATCGGAGGGGAGGAGGAGAGCGGTGCGGGTGTTGCTGATGGAGTGAAGCTCTAAGCACGCCCGCCCTCGTGCGCCCACCACACACCACAGGGCCCGCGCCTGTCATGTGCCACGTGGCACCACCCACCTGTCATGTGGACGTAGCAGGCGTCCTGGATGAGCAGCACACAGGCGAAGTCGTCAGGCTGCTGCAGCAGGAACACCCCCGGCATGAGCGAAAACGACCTCACGTCCCACTTGCCCCTCTACCCTCAAATGCACGCCCGGGGCCCATGCGAGGGGAGGGAGGGAGGCAGGGACGCGATAGGGCACAAGCAGGGGCGAGGAGGCGCAGGCAGAGGCACAGGGGTGCAGGGAGGGGCGAGAATGTGAGGGCAAGGCATGTGTGGGCATGGCATGTGGGAGCATGGCATGTGGGAGCATGGCATGTGGGAGAATGACATGTGGGAGAATGACATGTGGGGGCATGACTTGTGGATGGGAGAATGGCATGTGGCGCCATCAACATAGCAGCAACACCCCCCGGCAGGCATCTAGAGACAGGCACATGGAGAAGGACGAGGACGGGCCATTGGAGAGAGAAACAGGGCGTAGAGCAGGAGGGATGGAGGCGGGGAGCGTACGAGGGAGAGGAGGAAGGAGTTGTCGGTGGCGTTCCAGGGCACCTTGCTGGCCGCCAGCCCCGGCGCGATGTGGAACAGCCGCCCATTCACCGTCTCCCTCGCCCTCACTGCCGCACTCAGGTGTGCCCCCACGCCCCTCCCCATGCCCGCCCCCCCCTCCGCCTGCACCGGATTGCTGCTTGCCCCCCCACTTGCATGCGTGCTGGGAGAGGGGAGAGGAGGAAGGATGGGTATGAAAATGGGAAAGGGAGGTGGTGGGAGGGAGATGGGCGGGAGAGGCATCATGTGAATGGCCGTGGCGTGGTAGCATGCAATGCAATGCAATGCAATGGGGTGCCATGCAGCAGAGGTGCCACGGCGCAACACATAAAGCAGTGCGTACCGCCTCCCAGCGCATGGCAGTGCGGCCTGCCAGCCCGTACCGTGCGCGGACGGGGGGGTCGCTGGAGAGCGCGGCGTGGTGCGCCATGGCGCGCTCTTGCTGCCCGCTGCGCAGGCGGATGTCGGCGGAGGCGGCGGAGAGGGAGCGCGAGGAGAGGCCCGACTGGAAGAAGAGGTAAATGGTCGACAGGTTCAGCAGCAGCAGCAGCACCGCCACCCCCGCCACGTTCGACACCACCGCGCCCCCGCCCGCCCCGCCCACCCTCTCTGAACCCGCCGCTCCGCTTCCCGCATGCCCCGCGTGTGCCCCGTATGCGCTGTGCCCCGCGTGCGCGTGCGCAGGGCCGCTGTGGAAGTGGCTGCCGGCGGCGAGCGCGAACTCGCTGGAGAGCGCCGCGGGGGAGAAGGCGGCGACCGGGGAGGCGACGCCGCCAGCTGCGGAGGGTGCGCGGAAGGCGGCGGTTTGCGGGCTGGCGTGCTTGCCGCTGGCGAGTGGGGAGCCACGTGGATGGTCGAGATCGCTCAGATGGTCGATCGCACGGCGCTCCGCGATCCTGATGGGCGGCACGTCGTCCGCGACGACCACGAGCGGCGTCGAGCCCGCCGCGTGCTTCAGCCGCCCCGCGATCGGCCGTTGCATGGCGCGGAGCCGCTGCGCACGCGCGGAAGGGACGCGCGGAGCGGAAGCGAACTACGACGGCGGCCACCGCCGCATTCGCGAGGCCTTACGCGGGACGACGGGTGGCGCGGGAAAAAGCTGGTCTCTGAGTGATATGGTGCAAGAGGAGCGATCCTATTATGATATCGATTCAGGTAGTGGGGATCTTCGAAGCTAGTTGCAATACTGGGAGGCACATGAGAAGGAAGGGGTGGGGGGGGGAGCGGCAGGAAGCGGCAGGCGAATTGACGGGAATGCGCATTGCGCGGGGGAATGCACGGAAGACGCAAAGCTAGGACACTGATGATGAACCAGACGCAATGCAGGCGAGGCGAGCAAAAATAACGAATCTGACGAAATCTACAGGGAAAAAATAACGAAGCTGACGAATCTGACGAAAGCTAGGACGAAAGCTACGAATCTGGCGAGCAAAAATAACGAAGCTGACAAACCTGACGCAATGCAGAGTGAAAGGTAAGATGCTATGGCGAATCAGACGAAGCTACAGGGAATCTGACGAGGTTTTACAGAGAGCGTGCAACGGCGAAAGCGCGCGTTGATGGGTGAGCAGCATGTGACGTTGCGTCGCTATTACCACAGGTTCACGAAATACGACATCCAGGGTCGTAGGAGAGTCACTGTTGGTAATTAAACGCGATGGTAAAAAAAGAGACACCAGAATCGCACATATAGTGTGGTACGAATGGGTGACAGAGCTGGTCGGGAGCGTCAGGCGACACTAGGAAACTATGCAAGGTTTCTAAGACAGACCCAGTACGCGTTCGGCAATTGCTTCCATCACAAGGGTTACCTGCTGTAAAGATTGAACCGACCTCCATACCGACTTTCGTTGGTGGGGAAGCTCGTCGGGGCTGGAGAACCACTCTTCCAACCCGTAAAACCCGCCAAATCCCTCTGAAAGCTACCGAACCGCGTTAAAGTTTGTCGTACGAGAAATGTGGCTTGATTGTGGATCACGCTACCAAGCGACGTGCTTCTCGGCCTTCGAGCGTCACAACGGTCGTGCGGGTCGTCAACTCTCGTTCAGAAAGTTACACGCGGATCCAGACAATGGCAATTTCACGTAGTGCTGACAGAACACCACCTCGGTGTGTACTCACTGCACAATGTGGCAGACAAGTGACTAGCGTTGCGGGGACGCGCGGCAGAAGTCCACGCGTTATTCAGTAGAGACGGTTGAGTGCGTCGCAGTGAAATATTGAACGGTTAGATTGCTTCATCCCTTCAAATAAGCACCGTGAACATTGATAGGTCCATGCTTAGCACTTAGGGCTTGTAACTTTTTCCGTTTTCATCAAATGTCCGGACGAAGCCTCCAAACCAGCCGAACGGAGCTCTGTCCGGACGTTTGGATAATACATACGAACATTAAAGAAATGACGTCATCCACGCATGATCACCCACGCGAGCGGGCAGGAAAGTGACGTCAGACGGCCACGCGGGCCACCAGCTCCGAAGTCCCTCCTGGTCCGAAGTTGACCCTTGGGAGCTTCAAAGTTCCTTCGGGCCGACAACCCCCTTACAAATCGTCCCATTGGACCACGTGCTGGGCGGAATGCTCTAGGCGGACTCTTTTCCGCGTCCGCGCACCATGTCTCAAGCTCGGAAGCGTCGTAGAAAACTGAAGTGTCAGAGCGTCAAAGGTTATCGACGAAATGATCCTATGGCTGCCAATTTACGTTGATAAGAGTGTGAAAAAATATCTAACGCTTTACGACCGCTGGCGAGGGTAACGACGTGTTGCGACCCACACGGGTCGGGTCGACCAACCCCCGATCCCTCTTTTCTAGGAAGGCTGCGTCGCGGGTCTATCCGACCTGGTCGACCAGGTCGGATCAACCAGGCTGACCGAACCCAACCCAACCAAGCTGGAGCAGGTTACCCAAGCCTGCGAACTTTGTGGTTCTCACGCGGATGTCGCCTTTTTTTCGCCTAATAATCAGATACCCGGTAAAATCGCGCACGTCTCACCCTTAGCCCACCTTCTACCTGCACAGCAATCGCTTTCCCTTTACATCGAATTCGCAAGGAAAGCAATAACAAATTCCTTATTTTCCCGAGTCGCCTTTCCGTTTGGTTGGGCCGGGTTGGGTCTACCCGACCTGGCCGACCCGACCCGACCCAACCCCGTTGGGCGACCCAACCCTGTTGGGTCGCAACACATCGTAAGTAACCAGTTCGTCAAGATGTTGAGTGCATGTTCGTGAATTAGGCGCTGTTCTTTTGGCTAAAAACGACCTTCGCAGATTCTTCCTGTTAAACTGTGTTATGTTGGTAGGCTGTAGTGGGGTAGCCAGTATGGGGTACAACCCCAACTAGGGTTGTCAAGATTACGAGACTGGAATGATTGAACTAACAGAGAAATCAGTACAAATAGCTAACCCTAGAATTGTGTACCCCATACAGGCTAACCCACTGTAGCCTAACAAACCAAACATATATAATGTTTGACACACCCCCATAGGCAAAGTGGGGGAGACCTAGGGGTCACAAGACCAGTCAAGGCAAAGTAAGGCAAACAAGCTCAGGGTGGATCTCGAGGATTCCACACAAATTCCGAGCACAAACAAGTGGTCACAAGACCAGTTCACATGCAGGTTTATAATAGAGCAAGACGTACAATGATCACAACCTAGCAAGAGTAAACATGCAGGTATATAAATATATAGTGATCACAGTACAGGCAAAGTCAAGAAGTGAGCAAGTGAGGGCCAGTAGGCACAAGGCCTAACAGAGTACAGAAGCGCTGATGGTCACAAGGCTGGAGTGCCTTGGTGAACACATCAGCAGTGTTGGCCTCAGTGGCCACGTAACGCAGACGAAGCTGACCGCGCTGCTGCAGCTCTCGAGCAAGGAAGTACCGCAGAGCAATGTGCTTCGTTCTGTGCTCCAGTCTGTGCTCCTCACACAAGGCAATGGCAGCCTTGTTGTCGACGTACAGCACTGGAGGAGAACGAGGCCGCTCTCCGAGGTCGGTCAGCAGGTAGGTCAGCCAGCGCAGCTCCTGAGCAGCCATGGCTGTGGCGTAGATCTCAGCCTCACAACTGGAGCTGAGAACAGAAGACGAACGAGTAGAACGCCAAGAAACTGAGCCAGAGCCAAGGCTGAAGGTGTAACCCTGTGACGACCGCTGAGTAGCCTGGTCGTCTGCCC